ATTTGTACCATGAGGAGATAACACCATATTTCTTACAGCTCAATTTTCATTTTGCAGCCACTTCATCACAGTCTTTTGCCCTGATTATTTCATACAGACTCCTTACTGATGTCCCAACTTTCCTCCCCATTCCCAACAAATACATCTTGTACCTGTTGCCAGAACAGTCTTCCTCTTAGATCATTAGCACTTCTTCAGAATTCCTTATATGTAGTGCTGGGAGGAGGTAGAATGCTGTATCCTCACTTCTTCCTTTACAGAGTGAGTTTAAGTAACATAATGCTCCCAGTCTGTTGCTACACTCCTTCTCTTCCTCATGCAGGCTGAATGAATGACCTAGTTGGCAGATGATTGCCTTTGGTCCATGTTTCTCATGTGGGTGGAACTAATCTATCAAGGTTTAATAGATTGAATGCGGGGGATTTATTCTCTCTCTCTACTTCTCCATGTGACCAGTGGGATGGAACAACTTTGGTGAGTATCTGCTCAGTCTACTCATACTTTCCCTTAAGACAGGAAATTAGCAAGCTCATTCAGGCTATCTCATAAAGCTCTTTTCTAACTTATTGATAATAAAAGTGAGATCTTGTTTCTTCATCTGCTTTTTATCTTATTTCTCAAGAACCTAGGCTCAGAACTTGGGTACCACTTTTTTGGCCCTTGCAAAGCCCAAGAGGCTAAAACCCAACCATAGGCCAGAATTAAGACCTACCATATCTGGACCTTAACGTAGAGAAGAACCTCGGGCTGTACTACCTTGACTTCGGAGGATGGCTAAAACTTGTGAGGTCATGGTAGCTGTGGACAGTGGTTCTCAGCCATTTTCCACACTAACACCTTCGCGTCAATATCAGTGGTTCACTATTGCCACGATTCTTAAGCAGGAAACAATGCACAGCCTAGGATGGCATCTCAGGATCTGTGGAGAGGATATGGAGGATGTGTTGATAAAAACCACCACAGAATGAGATTTTAGCATGCCCCTCCAGGGGCACCCTCTGCATTCTGCCAGCCCCATGAGAAGCAATGACCAAGGCACTGATCCTCAGCTTTACAAGTTCAAAAACTCAATTTTGTCAGCTCATCCAATGATAATTGGGCCCTAGGGTATTGAGTCACACAACTCACAGTCACAGGAGGCTGACTTATAATCCAGAATGTCAATTAGCCAATTTAAAATAGAAGATACACTTTACAGCACTTGAACTACTCATGACCCCTTTTCAAACCATTCTCTAACTACTATCTAGATGACTGAAAACCAAATGAGTAACCAACTATGGGAGGTTAAGAGAAAATTAAACTAGCCAAAGACTTGTTTTTTCGATTCCAGTCCTGCCACTGACTCTGATCTTGGGCAAGTCAAAGCCTTTCTGAATCAGTAAGCTTAAGACAAGACTGCCAGCATATGGAAGCACTTTGTTAATTATAAACCATTTTTCAAATGTAAGAAACTTACCAAAGCATCGGAGAGTCTTTTCAAGGATTTGTTACCTTTTCTAGTTTTTGCAGCACAATCTTTGCTCCATTGGAGAATATTTTTTTTTGTAAACATGGTATGCAAGGCTAGATGTCGTGTACTTAGTGCCAGATTCTTGCTCTCCATCTTGGCTCCTTCTTATAAGCACATCTTACATTACCATAATGTGTCCATCTAAATCACACACATTACCGTATACCTTTTAGGCTGGCTGCCTCCAGGACCAGGCTGCTTCTACTTACCAGAACCAGAGTTTCTGATTCAGTACGTCTGGGGTAAGGCCTGAGAACTTCTATTTCTAACAAGTACCCAAGCGATGCTGATCTAGGGACCACACTTAGAGAACCACTGGTCTAGTTCCGATAATGATCTTATCTGATTCTAATGAGAAAAGCTGCCACTTCCTGGCTACTGTCTTGCTCTCATTTGGGTCAGCACATGAGTGCCTTGTCCTTTCCTCATCTGGGTAAAAATTTATGCTATTTGTGCTCAGATCTTTGCTTTAGGGATCTGCCTAGCTCTTCTCTCCAAGCTGTGTAGACACTCAACTCTCTCTGGCTTTATCATTGTCTTACTGTAGAATTTGAACTTGAATATTTTTTTAAAAATACAGTATCATATGGAAACGTTTTCCTAATTGTTTTGAATGGAAATAGCAGGGAGTGGAGGGCATCAGTCCCTAGCAGAAAAGGAATTAGACACTGGCTTATGTGACTGAAAGCTCTTTGAGGGCTGAGTCTTACATTTTTACACTCAGGTTCTAGCACCAAGTGCCCCCGCTCTGTTCCAAGGGGTCTGTACATACTGACACATTTAACCCACACAGCACTCCTGTAAATTCCTGTTTTACAGATGAAGATCCTGGGGCTCAGGGAACTTGAGTGACTTGCCCAAGGTCACACAGCTTGAATGTATGAGAGCAGGATTTGGACTCAGGCAGTTTCATACAAGAATCTGAACTTTAACCACTATGCTATACTATATAACATAGTGCTCAGTAAGTCTGTTCCATGTTATAAGAGGCTATATGTGTCCCATTTCATAGGAAATTCAGTCAACAGGTGTTTCTTTCACTATAAATTTAATGTATATTCATACTTTCCCCCACTTCCTTTCCTCTATTCTCAAAAAAGTTTCCTCTCTCTCTGTGCAAAGCCAGCCCTTCCTTATGCCCTTGACCCTACCTCTTATTTTCTCCTGAACTTCTCTTATCAGTTATTCTATGTAGTAAGTTCAATCTCTCCTCTCCTTCTCCTCGCCTATCAACTTGCTCAAGCATCTAAGAAACCTGCCCCCCCACCGTGGGACCCGGCATTCACCTTTCCAGTCCCCATTCAATCATTGTCCTCTCTCCTCCCATTCAAGCTTCTTAAAACAATTCCCTCTACCTTCCCTCCCATTCTTTCTCAGTAGATTCCAATCGGATTCCCACCTGCATATGCTGTTTAAACTGCTTTCACCAAGTTAACCAACATGTTCCCAAGTGCTGAATGTTTTCGGCTCTTATTTACTGCAGTTCTCTGCTGCTGCACTTAATTGCTTTCTCCCTCTTGAGACTCCATTCACTTGGCTTCCTGGTGCTGGTTCTGCCCTCAGCACTCTACCAGTTCTCCCTGGGAGACCCTATCCACTCTCCTAGTTTCAAGTGACTGTCTCCTGTAAAGAAAAATCTTCCTGTCTTGTATCTTGGCAGCCTTGATATCTAGAGGGCATGGGTGTGGGGTGGGGGGAAGTGTACCCATATTGCCTTGTACACGTCTGTTTGAATTATCTATCTATCTATCTATCTATCTATCTATCTATCTATCTATCTATCTATCTATCTATGTCTTTTCACTAGAGTCTTCACTACCTAAAGGCAAAAACGTTTATTCATCTTTATCTCTTCAGCTCTTAGTACAGCCTGCCACAGCAGACATGCAACAGTTATCTGTTGAACAAATTACCCTTTATACGCTTTGCTTCACAGATGCCTCCAAATGTTTATAGGAATATTTTAAGGACCGTACAGAGTGTTACAGACGTTTAGAAAGGGGAGCTATCGTTTTTGGCTGGTAAGACTTTGTGAAGATGATAGCACTTGAGCCAGAAATAGTTTAAGTCCAGAGGCAGGAAAGGGAGGGGTTGAGTATTAACATTTGACTCCCAGGCCAGAGACAGAAGAGCAGCAGCTGGAGTGTCTTTGTTGAAGCATTAAGTTTGGATAAGGGAATAGAAGATTCACCTAAAAAGACAGGTGTTGAAATACAAACGTGGAGGTCCTGAGGGCTGAGCTAAGGATTTTATTCCATGGGCAAGTTGGAGCCTATACTTAAAAGAGTGCTCCATGATCCTATATGAACCTGGCAGCAGAACGTTTGCTACCTTGTAACCAGGATACACTGGAGGTAAGCAGACCAGTGGGACACTCATGAGCAAAATGAGAGCCTAATTCAGGGTGGTGGCACTGGAATACATCTTATAGTTAATTGCATGTCTCAATTTAATTGGCAGCATTCTTCCTTTCTTAACAACACATAAAATGTCAGTGTATATTAAAGCTGATGGTGCCCTAAATTCAATGATTGAAATACCTGGATGTGGATAAGAAATAAGGAATTCAAAGACAAAGTTTTAAACCTGGGTGATTGGAAGAACTCTATTATTCCTAACAAAAAAGGGAGGGCATTTCCTTGACCCCTACATAGGAGTCTACCCAAATCCCCTATTTGAGCAATGACCCAAGACAATATTGCTACTCACCTACCTTCCCCCTTTGAACTTATTACTAGTAAAAATAAGAGGAAATAGTAATTAATGACAACTTTAATATGAACACGTGTTTAATATGAACATGTGTCAGGAAACTGCCATAATTTAAAGGGAAGAGGGAGTTGCGACTGAAAGGAGTACATGCTGCTTAGGGATGGATGGCATGCGGTTTCTGGATCTAGCTGATACTCAAACATATCAGCAATTGAAGACATCAGTCATTTGAATAATCGAAACTTCTTCAAATACTGGTTCACTTCTTCCTTGGGGTAGGGACGGAGTGCAATGCAAGTGGGGATGTTCTCTGGTTGTTCCAGCCACAGCATGTGGTCAACGTTCTTCTGTTGCAGTGTCTCAGCCAGCAACTTTAAGGTGGTCTCATCTGGGGCCTGCAAGAAGCAGAACACAGACTGAGTAGCCTATTTAGGAAGTGTCAAAAGGCAAAGGAAAAAAAGTGGGGGGCTCCACTTAACTGAAAGTGGAGGAACAAGTCTACTAAAGATGGAGCTGTAGAGCAGGCTTCTAGAAGCAACAGCTTCATCGCTCCATTTGCCATTCACTCTCTGAAGAACTTTAAATAAACTGCCTGGGGTGGGAGTGGGTAATCTTGGCATTGTCTTTTATTTTATTGGTCTTTATGGCTACAGCAGCACCTTTATTTAATCAGTAGTGAATCCTAAGTCCCTTTCTTGAGTCATAGCTAACAATAGAATCATAGGATATGTCTTTTAAACTCAGAGGAGTCACTTAATCTCTGTGGGCTTCAGGTGTCTCATCTGAGAAAAGGGGTAAACATTTTATCTGACTGAAAGCAAGACAGTGAGGGATGTCTAAACCACATGATTTCTTGAAGACTTCCCATTAAAGTTCTAGAAGAAGAATCTAAAGGAAAAGCTGTTTCTTTTCTGCCTACTTACAGATTCTTAAGACATTTTCCTACAGGTTACTATTTGATGTTTCACTACCCAACAGCAATTTTTCTCTTTTGAAAAATAATCTGTTTTTGCCAGCTAACCAAGAAGGAATTACCTGACCCCTCCACCCTAGTGTTCTGATTTGTTTATTTATTAAAATAAATAATTTTTATAATTAGAATAAAATTGCTTTAAAATGAAAGCAGTATTTTTTTCAGTATAAAATATGTGCTTAATGTAGAATACTAAAAAGAATAGAGAAGCATTAGGAAATAACGAGAATTCCACCCCCCAATTTAATATCTGGATGTACTTCTTAGTTTTTCCTTTCAAAATCAGGATCATTTTGTATGTAGAATATAGTTCAATTAGCATCACATCATGAGCACTCATCCATACCACCTAAATATGCTTCAAAAACATGATTTATGCTAGTTTCATAATAATCCATTATAAGGGCTTACATTTAGCCAACCCATGGTATCAAAAATAAATTTCCACATTTTTTATTATAAAGTGCCACCATGAATATCCTTGTACACTACTCCTTAGGTATTAAGATGTACAAGAATACATCTTATATTCTTAGGATACATTTCTAGAGGCACAACTGACAGAAGGTAAGGGTAAAATCTGGCCATCTGTAAAAAGAATCTTACCTTTCTTTTACACCCCTGGTGTTCGGTATTTCTGATACTAAGTTCAATTAATACTAGGGCTCACATATATTTTCAAATAATTTGGCGTCATACCCAGGAAAATGCTTCAGTTTGGGTTCACTTGCAATTAGGAACCCCATGTCCTTACCCTTCTGGATCGGTTTTACGGAGAGGGCTAAGGAAGGTATCGGCGCAGCCATTAAATTAGGCGGGCCCAGGGCACAGGTAGAAAGGCAGGTGTCTCATTACCAGCCTCCGCCTCACTGGCATTTACTTAAGAGGGACGCAGGTGAGACCAGAGAGGGGCGAAAGCATTAATAAAGGGCCCAACGTCCAATCTTCACACCGGCAGGCCCCGCCCAGCCGAGGTAAGGCTGCCTGGGAAATAGCTCAAGCCCCAGAACCCTTCCCAAAACTTAGAAGTTAAACACCCCTCCCCACTAACGCCACGCCCACTCCACGAAGTTAGGCCCTGGGACTCAAGTCCACACCCACTTCCGGTCTCTTTCCCCTCAGCGCCCCTCCCCCTCCGCCCCGTGCCTCACCTCGAGGACCACTTTGCGCATGCGCCCCAGCTCCCGGAGGTAAGCTTCCGTGTGCGGGTGGTCGCGGTGAATGTGTAAGGCGGCGGTGGCTGCGTGACAAGCCTGTGCTACCAATGCGCCCGCTGGCCAGGAAAACGGAGCCTGTGAGAGATCCTTTCGTAACACCAAATATTGTACCAGGATCTGCGTCTCCATGCCAGAGGCCGCCATCTTCCTACCCAACAGAAAGGCCGGACCTACTCCCCGGTGCATGCCGGGATCAGGGAGGGGCCCCGAGCGCCGCCATGTCTTTGTACGGCTGGAGCGCAAAGCACTCTGGGACCGGCTGGCTCGGGTTTGAAGGCAAAGACGGCGGGAAGTCTTGGCCCTGGCCTGAGGGAGCAAGAGGAAAGGAGGTAAGGGAAAAGTGCGACCCATTGGGGACGGGGCCATACCCAGGGTGGAAGGCTGAACAGACTCTTACAGCTCCTTCCTTGTGCAAGGACACCCGGCTGAACCAGAGGCCCCGCGTCCTCGGGAGCGCGCAAGGGGCCGGAGGCAGACGAGGACGCCGCCGACTCGGACCCCGGGAACGGACGGGGCGGGTCAGGGAAGGGGAGTCCTAGCGGGTGTGCCTGCCGTATGGATTTATCTGAATGTGGGTAGATTCGTGTCATTTTCTTTTGCCGCCAAGGAAAACCCTATGACTGGTGCCTGGACAACTTCATAGGCAGGCGCCTGGAAATCTGGAGATGGAGCTGGCGAATGCTCAAAGTCAGGACGGCGAGTCCAAAGGAGGTACTCAGAGGGTCGCTTTTCCCCCCTTACTACTGCTGCCTGAAGATAACTCCCAGGTCGAAAGCCCTTTCATCCTCTTACTGATGTGTGACTTGCCCTGTTTGGGAGCAGAATGGTGAAAGGAACTAACATTGAAGACTTTTAAGGGACAGGCAGCTAAGATCATTGGACAGGAAAAATTACTTCAAATATTTCTAGCCTCTTACCCCCTTTTAGACCCATAGGTTGCCTTCATAGTATGCCGAATGTATCCAGAGCTACAGTTCTAGCCAGTGAGCTTTCTTTACCTTCTTCCCAGGATGTTTTTGGGGCTATTTATGTATTACTCCTGTGGAAGGGGCAGTACAGGCAGTGAGTGGTATTGGTTGGACTCAGGTTTGAGTCCTGGCTCTGCTGTTATAAATATTTTGACCTTGGGCAAGTTCTTTTACCTTTCTCTGCCTCAGTTGCTTCATCTGGAAAATGGGGGTGAATAATAGCATTGTGGTGGTGATTGTGGAAATTAAGTAATTCTTTTCATGCTTTTCAAGTAAAGCATTTAGCATATGCATAGTGTATATGAAATAGTCAATAAATGCTTTATTTAATTCTTTGCATGCTTTTCAAGTAAAGGATCTAGCAGAAGTGTCTTAATATGTAGGGAATGTTCACAGATAACTTTGTTGTTAGAATTGATTAGCAGTATGAAACTGTGACCTTTACTCTATTGATCTTTAGTCAGTCTCTTGGAAACTGAGATTTGCTCCTGAACTTCTGTCCATTAGTGAGCTTGTTTTCCTCTCTAGTATCCAGTAATAATGGTGGACAGTTCTCTTTAGTGTATACCTTTATAGTCCGATGCTTTCAGAGCTTCAAAGTACTTATTCAAGTCTGTTTGGATGTCTAAATCCAGAGTTACACACTAGCATTTTGGGAAAGCATACTTAAAACCCAATTTAAAAAACAATTCTACATTAAAAAAAGTTTCTGAGAGAGTCAGTGATTTTGGTGACCCTGTTTTCCTTAAATCACTATTATTATGGATAACTGAGATTAGTTAGGTTCAGGTAATGCCCTCTTTGAACAATGTCTTGGTCAGGAACTGCTTGTAGGTCAGTGTTCGGCCTAAGAGGTTGCTGATCATTGACTTCTGTTGTCAGTTCCTCTTGTTTTATAAATTGTTGCCAACATCTACAAGTTGGCAGGCCACAAAGTTCTAAAGAAAAGTGTCACCCTCTGTTATTCCCTGTAATGCTTCCTGTTACCAGAGTTAGAAATCCTTAACTTCTTGTGAAAATTCCCTATTTACTTTCCTCAGGTGTTTTAGCTCACTTGGAAAGACTAGAGATTCAGCTAAGTAAATCCCATAAAAAATTGGAAGAGCCACAGAGAGAACAGGCAGTGGAAAGTGCTCTTGGAACCAAGATTCATAAACTGAGACTTCTGCGAGATAGATTGAGTGCTGAAGTGAAACAACGTCAAGCCAGAGTGAGTAGAAGGGTGATTGATGTTGGCAGGCTTTCCTAGAGTGGGAAAAAACAAACGTGATCTGGGAATTAGCAAATTTGTATAATGCGTTTTACCTGTGCTCTTACTGGATCAATTTCAGTTCTTGATTCCTTAAATGATCAAAGCTGTAGAGTCAGTTAATACCGATATCCATTAACAGTTGGCAGGCATTGCTGATGGGCCAGGTGAATTCTTTATAGTAGTCTCTTCACCTGCCCTCATAGACATGCGCTTGTTACCTCAACCTCAGCCCGACTTGAGTCACTGGTACTTTTGTCATTAGCACTATCTATTACCCAACTTGAAACCTCACAGTAAACTTTGACTCCTCCCTCTTTTCAGTTTTCTCTCTAGTCCAGGTCCAGTTGGCAAGACCTGTCATATTCTTCTTTAGATTGTCTACGTGCTTCCCTCTCCTCTACCTCCCTTGCCGTAGCTCCTGTATTAGCCACACATCCTAAATCTTTACCAGGTGATTCAGGTGGCAGGATTATTGCAGCAGTCTGCTAGTTGGTTCTCTTCTAGTATTAATACTTCAATAAGTATAGCCAAGAAAATCTTCATAAAACACTACATTTTTTCATTAAATGACAAATTTCCTTGTTCAAAGTGTCAGTAACCAATCATTGCCTATGGGTTAAAGTCAGCCTGCCTTCTTTTTCTTGCCTTCCCTCCTCTTCTTTCTCTCCCTCTCCCCTGTTTCTTCTCTTCCTCCCTCTCTGCCTTCCTTCACTTTTTTTATTAAAGTAAAAAATGTATATGTATGTGTGCGTGTGTGTGTATGTGTATAAAGGGCACAAATTTGAAGCCCTTTTTACAGAATGAACACCTCCTGGTAAGAAGATCAGAATACAGACTATTATCATTGCCCAGAAGGCTCCCTCTTGTGTCCTTCTGTTCCCTCAGCCACTGTTCTGGTTTCTGTTACCATACATTGGTTTTATTTGGTTTCGAACTTCATGTAAATCTAAAAAGTGTAAACTCTGTTATGTCTGGCTTCTTTTGCTGAATGTTATCTCTGTGAGATTCATCCATATTGGTGCGTTCTGTGGTCATTCCTTTTTATTGCTGTATAGTTGGTTCCATTTTAGAAAAATCCCACAACTTATTTACTTACTGTACTGTTGGTGATATTTAGGTTATTTGGCTTGTTTTGCTTTGAGGCTGTTAAGAATAGTGCTGCTGTGAACGCTTTTGTTCCTATCTTTTGATGTAAAAAATATGCTTTTCTATTGAATTGCTGCGTCACAGGGTATGCAAATTACCTTTAGTAAATACTGCCAAACAGTATTTGAAAGTGATTGTACCAATTTTACATTCCCAGCAATAGTGTGTAAGGTTTCCCAGCATCTTTACCAATACTTGATATTGTGAATTTTAAAAATGTGTCATTCTAGTGAGAGTATAATAGTAAATCATTGTGGATGAATTTGCACTTGCCTAATAACTAATGATTTTAAGTACCTGATTGGACACTTGAAAAATCTTCTGTTATGAAGTGAACTTTTCAAGCCTTTTGCAAAATTTTCATTGGGTTGTATCTTGTATTAAATTGTAGAGTTCTTTACATGTTTTGGATATGAGTTTTTTGTCGTGTGTCTGTATTCTGAATCTTCTCGTAAAGACTTGCCTTTTTTACTTTCTAATGGCATCTTGTGATGAAAAGAAAGTCTTCCTTTTAATGAAGTTTGACTTAGGAATCTAACTTTATGCTTACCATCCTTGTTTCCTTTTAATAAACCTTTGCTTAACTTAAGATCATGTAGATACTCAGTATTATTTTCTAAAAGCTTTATTTTAGTTTTTACTTTGGTCAGAATTTCAGTCCATCTGGAACTTGTTTTTGTGTATGGTGTGAAACAGAGGCCATACTTGATTTCTTTTTTTTCCCACATGGGTATCCAGTTTATCCAGTACCACTTCTTGAAGACCACTCTTTTCCCATTGTATTGTAGTGGATTTTGGGGTCCACTGTGGACCTGTTTTCTGGATTCTGTTCTGTTCCAATGGTCTGTTTGTCTTTGTGCTGGTACCAGAGGTTTATTACTGTAAGTTTTGGTAACTTTGGTATAGGTCTTCAGAATTATCTTGGCTATTCTTGGCCTCTAAAATCCCACATAAATTTGGGAATTGGCTGTCAGTTTCCAAGAAGAAACCTCCTAGTTTCGATTTGAATTGCACTGAATCTATACATCAATTTGAAGAGAATTGAAATCTTTATAGTATTGTCTTCCAGTCAATGTATGTGGCATGTCTTCTAGCTTCTTGGGATGAATACTTGTTTTTTAAGTCTTTCTTTTCTCCTGTATGTGTTTAAGGTTATAAATTTCTAAGTGTAGAATCTTAATCCATATGGGCCACAATAACAAAAGTGTCATAAACTGGATGACTTACAAGAAATAAATACTTATTTTTCACAGTTGTAGATGCTGTGAAGTCCAAGGTCGTGGCACTGGCAGATTCAGTGTCTGAGGACTCAGTGATGGTGGTCTTCTCACTGTAACCTTGCATGGCAGAAGGGGCAGGCTAGCTCTTTGGCATCTTTTTTATAATAGCACAAATCCCATTCATTAGGGCTCCCCCATCATGACCTGATCACTTCCCAAAGGCCCCACCTCCAAATACCATCATGTTGGGCATTAGGTTTCAACATGAATTTTGAGGGACACAGGCGTTCAGTTTGTAGCACATGACTTCAGCTATATCCCACAAGTTTTGGTATATCATGTTTTCATTATCATTTCAATTCAAAATATTTTTGATTTCCATTGTGATATCTTCTTTGTCCCATGGGTTTATTTTAGAAATACATTGCTTAATTTCTAAAAATTGGGGGATTTGTTAGTAATTTTTTAGTTACTGATTTATAACTTAATTCCACTGTGATTAAAGAACGTGACCCAGCATGTGGTCAGTTTTAATAAATGTTCCATGTGCTTTAAATGTGGATTTTGCATTTTTGGGTATTCGCTCTGTATATCAAAGAG